ATCATCACCATCATCAAACAAGCAGGTTTGGCATTACCCTTTTGTGCACAAAACCTTAGTACAACTGGATGGAGTATCACTTTCATAACTTACAAGAATCCAGATCATCTGAATCACTTCCTGTGCTGTGTTCTGGATTGTATCTCTTGAGGACTCTTTCTCTAAGACTAAAAAGATATTTTATACCATGACAAGAATTTAAAGCTATGATTTGATAGTTAGTCTGCATGAAACCTTTTAAATTTCCCTTCCATCCCAAGAGGAAATCAGAAGGGAAGGAATGGGAGTGGATGAAAGTAAAAAGGGAAGGGAAATGTAGTTAAAAGTGGTGGGAAGGAGGAGAGAGGACAAGAGGAATGAGATGAAAGGAGAGGAATAATAAATGAAAATAATAATTAATAAATATATTTATTTAAGTGTGTAGTTGTTCTAGCGCTTTTGCACTAATATTGGGGACACTTTTGGCTCGTGTGCACTACCACTTCATTCAATATTCTATGAACACAACGCTCAACTCACATGTTGATTTTTACAGAGGGAGGAAACCGGAGAACCCAGAGAAAACCCTCGTAGCATAGGAGAGAACAACACATCAAACAAACTCAATTCACATGTGTCTTGCAGGGCTCGAACCAGTGACCCGACCCATTGGACTCAGAAAGGTGAAACACGTAATGTTAGCAAAGGAAAGGAAAAGGGAGGAAAGTAGAGAAGAAAAGAAGAGAGCAGATAAAAGGAAATACTAGGATAAGAGGAAAGGAAAGGAGAGGGGAAAACAGAAGAAAGGAAAGAGTGTGGACATGCAGAGACAGACACCCATCAGTATATCGACTTATACTGTAAGTTATATGTATTTAGCAAAAGCAAGTGACAGCATCACGATGCAGTACCTCTTATGTGGAAGAAGGAAAGGGCTGTCATCATCAGGTTTTGTCTTGGGTAATCTGATACCCTCTACTACTGTCTCTACTGTCTTGTTGTTGTTAAATTGTTTACCAAAGGATTTGGAAACTTTACTGTCATCACCATCATCATTATCATCAATGATGATGATTTGTTTAGGAGAAACTTTACATTCTTTCTTCAATCCCTTATTTGAATCGTCTAATTTGAGGTCATTTATCTCTTTACTTATCTAAGAAAATAAACAAAAATTACCATCTCTATATCACTTTATAAATAGTCACCGATATAGTCATTTAATAGCCCGGGCGAGTTTAATAGCGTCAAAAGCAGCCACATTTATGTATGAAGCCTACCTTTGCAATTAAATCATCCACTGATCTCTCGAACCAGCCTAAAGTGGAACCAACTTCCCAAAGTTTAGTCGCCAAATTATCTTTGTTTTCAGATTTTCCAGCCATTGTTATCTTTCGATGAAGCAGTTGAACGACTTGTTTTGTTCAATTCTTGCCATCGTGGAAACCAATAGCCTCTCTGCAGGCCATATTAAGAACTAAAGCATATATTTATAGCTTCCTGGCTCTTGAATTTCGCTATTTAGGGATGAAAATTGAGTAAAAAGTTTGGATGAAGAAAGAAAACAAAAGATTCCAATTTGAAAACTCGCGCCTCTTGAACCATGCTAAGTGACCAGGCGACATGTCCTGAGGCCTGGTTATAAACGTTCRATTGACAGTCACTTTGTACATTTCATTTCTTGTTTATAAACAATACTTTAAAAATGTGTTTATAGTTATCTGACTGAATAAGAGCATGGTTCCTTTGAGGACAGGGATCGCGAAGATATTAACATCTACTCTTCTACAGGATTGTAGTTTTCTCTGCAGAAAAATCCCTAAAAAATCAACTCGGTTCATGAACTTGGATCAAGGTTCATTCTGCGTACAATCTAAGAATGGTATTGGAATTCCACACCTCTACAAAACTAGTTCTGCGATCATTTGTCTTACTCGAACTTTAGGGTATTATGATGATGGAAATAGGGAAAAAATTAGACGTGTTGGTTCAATGCAACGTTTGTCAACGCCATTCATGAAGAAGAATATCTTAGACAAAATTCACTCCAAGACCACAACATCGAACAGGCATTTTAGCGCCGCATCTATAGTTAATGCATGCCCAGAACGTATACAGCCATATATGAGACTTATCCGATTTGATAAACCAATAGGCACATGGCTACTTTATCTTCCGTGCACCTGGGGTATCACCATGGCAACTGACCCTGGGTGTATGGTTGATGTGAAGTTACTGGCTCTGTTTGGTGTTGGTGCTCTAGTGATGAGAGGAGCTGGTTGTACTATTAATGATATGTGGGACTCTGATTTTGATAAAAAGGTTGATATATGCATGTTATTATAGACACATCAGAGTATACACTTGTTTCAATAAAGTTAGTCACCAAAAAACCTAGAAGGCTGAGATCACTGAGGATCATGGGAAGCTTTTAATATCAAACAAGTAAAGCTTTTGATACAATTTGCAGCTTGAGGATGCTCAGAAGAGGTGAGACTGTAACTGGTAAAAGATCTAAAATCCATCAACAGTTATCAAAGCGGTTGAAACATGTAAAATATAACTACCCATAATCCTTGTTGGTCTCAGCTTTGTAGCTTTTCAGGTGACTAACTTTATTGAAATAAGTGTATATAGATACGTATCCAATAGAGGCTAATAGACCTCTTCAGCTTGGGGTAATGTTTTCCCATTTCAGACCACGTGTCATTCCCTTGAGAATAAGATTCTTTGTTTGAGCTGTATCATATTCATGTGTCTTCTCATGTGCAACCGAGCGCAAACCTTAAACAAAGAAATGATACTCTATGGAATGAAATGTGGTCTGTAGTGGGAAAACATTACGTCAGAGCCAAAGAGGTCTATTGCACCATCATGTGATGGCAGCCATGACAGGAGGCACAACAGCAGAGTCTTATTCCCCTGGGAAACTGAATTCTCTCTCTCATGTATAGAGGTTAGACCAGATACCATTTTTTCCTACCTCCTGTCATGGCTTCCATCACATAATGGTGCAAAGCCTCTACTAGATGTGAAACATGGAAAATGAAAGGCCCATTTACACAAYAAAGTCATACCCCACCCTGTGTAAAAATGATTAAAAACAAGGTAAAAGATCATTGCAATTTGGGTGCAAGCCCTGTTCATTTTAGAAAACCAGTCATTCTCTAGAGCATTATTGCTGTCTTTACCAATATTAATGTTTTCAACAATTTTTATAAAAACAAGGAAATGGTATCCCTGAGTTTTCATGACCTTTTATCTATTATTTATTTTATTTATTTATGTGTCATTCCCTTGGGTACTATTGCTGTCTTTATCATTAACATTTTGTTCTAGGTTGCCAGGACAATCACACGACCACTAGCATCAGGTGCGATCAGTCATTTTCAAGCCTTAGTGTTCCTTGGTGCTCAGCTGAGCTGTAGTCTTGCGATCCTTCTATCCCTGAACACCTACAGGTTGGTATGTTATGCTTAAAAAGATGCAAGATGCAACATCATTTTATCAATTAATTTTTTGTTGATAAATTCTAGCATCATTTTAGGAGCTAGTTCAATGGGCTTGGTTGTGAYGTACCCACTGATGAAAAGAATCACTCACTGGCCACAAATTGTTTTAGGTAAGTACTTAACATATTGTTCTAACCACTATAGGCTGTTCAAAGTCAGGGCTTGGTTAATTTGTAAACAGATCAAATTAGAATTTAGGGTAATGGGTTTCTTGGAAGTTGGAAAAACCTACTGTCAGTCAGAACTCAGAGAAAAACCTTGAATCAAGGGAGACCAAGGGACTCTACTCACATGTGATACTGAGTCCAGGTACATGTATTCAACCCGACACCCCAGAGGTGCGAGGGGCAAGGCGAGTACACAGAGATGTCACCCTTGATCAAAAAACTATAAACAATTACCAGTAGTACATGTGACTGTACACTGCTAATAATACAAAGTAATTTTCCAGTTGAAATGATTTTTTTTAGGGTTAACTATGAATTGGGGCATTCTTGTCGGCTGGTCTGCAGTGAAAGGTAGCTGTGATTGGTCTGTTTGCTTGCCGCTGTACATGGCAGGGTTCTTTTGGACCATGATGTATGACACAATCTACGCTCATCAGGTCAGGCATTCTTACCTTAAACTCTGCCCTTRATCAAAGTCTTATATCCACTGAGATGAACATTACCATTTGCCAACTTTGTTAGTAACATTAAAACCATCCTTTTTTTCCATGAGGGTAGCACTTAATAGACAGAGGCTAACAAACCTGTGGCCCTCGTTCTGTGATCGAATTGGAATTTAGGAGTTGGTTTTTGAGGAGGGAGGAAAACCAGAGAACCCGGAGAAAAAACCCTCRAAGCACAAGAGAGTACAAACTAGAAACTCTGCTCACACACAACACCAAATTGATGAGAGGCGAGCACTCTGACCACTACGCCACCCGTAGATATTGAACCTTATAGATGATGAATATTTTTACTTTCTCTCATTCAGGATAAGAGTGATGACATTAAAATTGGTATCAAATCGACTGCTATTCTCTTTGGTAACCAAACCAAACTCTGGTTGTCTGCATTTAGTGCTGGTATGGTGGCTAACCTAATGCTTGCTGGAATAACTGGTCATCAGTCATGGCCATATTTTGCAGGAGTTGGACTGACTGCYGCTCACTTGGCATGGCAGGTGAGGGAGGACGTGGGGAGAAATGTTCTCAGTTTCCTACAGGGAGGGAAGTGATGGATAGAGGATTGATACATCATGCAAATTCATTTTTAGATTATTGCAGTGGACCTCAACAAACCACAAGACTGCCTTGAGAAGTTCAAGACAAACAAATGGTTAGGCATGTTGACTTTCGGAGCAATCATGTCTGGAGTAGTGTTGGAAGCAACTAAAGATAATTCACAGGAAAATAACGAACATGAAAAAGTTATGGCATAAGAAATTATTGTAGATCGCATTAAACACTTTGCATACATTAAATAATGATTTAATCAACTTGTATACAGTAATGTTTTGGATTGACTATACTGTCTTGTACCTCACCTCAGTAAAAGGGAATTCATGTTTGAGYTCTTTTATCCAGAAACTTAATCAGTCAAATCCTCCCTAGCCCTCAGAAATACCAATCCCCCTTCAAGGGGAGGTATGGATCTTTTCTAGAACTACACAATAAACCCTCCCCAGCCCTCGTAGATTTTAGTCTTTGGATATTATGTTTGAAGTCACTGGTGCTACTAAGTTTTGAAAGTAGAGGTACTCTAGGAGTTATGAGATTGTAAGCTAAGTGCCATTYGACAAAAGCCTGATATGTTTGACTGGGCAATATAAGATTGACTGTTGTCAATGATGATCACTCTATATCACTTGATTGACCACTTAACCAGGGTTGATTGATCGGTAGTACTCAGCTGCTAGAAAAAAATGTACTATAAAATTGCGTCAATTGAAAGGAAACACATAATATAAAATGATTTATGAAAATATTCTCATTTTCCAAGATGTAATTATTTTAAGCAGATTTTATTGAAATATAATAATGACAAATTGATAATAATTATTAGTGAAATATCTGCAAACATTGGCTATCCACTTCTATTCTAATAACATGAAAATCACAAAGTAAATAGTATTAGCTAGACAAATATGTATTAATAATATAGTATATTGTTATATAATAAGAGTATCAAAGGTTTTTTGTACAGTACAATTATTAATTGCTGCTAGAATTAATTCAAAAATAAGTTATATTTGGTGAAGAGTATAATTAATTTTAGTAGTGTGGTGCAATGACTTGTGAGTCTCACTGTTAATAGAGTGCATACGTCCATATATCTGTGAAAAAGGTAACTTACAAAATTGTATGAATTGGTGCAAAGTTTTGAAGGTCTACATTCCACTAAACCTTCTTAATTTGTTCAAATTTATGCAATTTTTCATAAAGTTTTTCAGTTTTTTCAATGGTATGCACTCTATTATAAATTTCTTGCACTAAATTACAATCAATTGGTAAAAACAAAAGAATTCCCRTCTCTTGAGAATTGTGTTAATATTGTTTATTGTTTTATGATCCTAGGTTGGGATTTAGTGCAAGGGTTCTATAGACCTCAAGCTTGATCATAATGTTTTACCCATTTCAGACCACATGTCATTCCCTAGAGTATCATTTCTTTGTTTATCTGTTGCAATAAAAAATGTAAATCAATATGCCCAAGGTTGAAAGAGGTCTATTAACAGATAAGTAGAATTTACTTTTTTATTCATTTTGACAACAAGCTGTGAACAGCCAGGTCAACCAATAATATGAAGGAAAATATTGTGGTATAAAATTACAGTCTGTACCAGATTCGTTTGACTTGAGGTGYGATTACATCGAGCAATTGTCTCATAACATTGCGAGAGAAGTTGCATGGAGCATTGCAGTGTGTAACCTACAGCGCAATTTGAAAAATGCTGTGAGAAGTTGCAGCAATCATTGTGAAAAGTAGAATTCATTTCTACTTTTGGCAATGTTTGCGTCTCTGTTGCACCATGTAAACAATCTTGCAACTTGTGTCACARCGCCGTTGCGAGACAAGTATGTTGCAGAGAAAATTGCTTTGTGTAATCGTGCCTTTAGTTGGATTGGAACATCTTGTTTTTTAGCTTCTTAATGTCATTACAAATTTGCTTAAATATTATTTTAAGGGATTTGTTGGCTCAAACCTATTAAAAGATAAGATATCTGCAGTTGTCTAGATCTCAGAAATATTGCAGGCTGTTTATTAAGGAGTGTGTCTACATCTAATCAAAAGAAAAAGATAAAAATCTCAAAACTGGCAAATGGATTTTTTCTTCACGTTTTTTTATGGCCTACCAAGAGTACGARTTCATTTTCCTAGTTTTCATCTAATAAATAAAGTAGTGAATCAGTTTTTTAAAGTTACAAAAATAAAGTTTAAGTGCTAATACAGGTTTGTTTTTTTGGTATCATTTTTCTTGGAGCAATAAAAACATGAGAAAAGTCTGAGGCAAATGCCGATTACACAGGAATTGGAATGGATGTAATTAATAAATGAAATGAGGAAATATCTAGAAATTATTGCATTGACAGTATGCATGTATTGATGAAGATCAATTTGATTTGAGTGAAAGAAGCCACAACATTGAAACAGCTTCTCACCCAACCACTGAAGGCACTTACATTCRACTCAAGGCAGCAGTAATTCAGCAAATAAATGGTAGGAATTAACACTGAAATGGYTTCCAAACACTCAAATGGTTTTCCACAACCTTAACAACTGATTTTTTTAAGTAGTGAAATTAGATAATAAGCACACAAAACAAGAGGAATATTTTCCCACTCAATAAGTTGCATTACGTAATGTTGAATGTAAGAAATCTATATATATATGAAGATGCAAGGAAGGTATTTGAAAGATTTATATAATACATAATTATTATCAAAGGTATATATATCTAATACCCTYGTAGACTTGAATCAAACACTTGGCTAGTTACAGTTAATGTCAAGAAAACCTTGGCATGAATGGTGATGGTGGATGTCCTCCATTAGGATTATGATTGGGATCTGTAGAAAAAAAGAACAGAGGTAATATGACATACGTAGTCCCTAATAATAGATACACCTGACCTTGTTCTTATTTTATCAAACAACCTCTGGGCTGATCTAAGTCAGGGCATGGCTAACTCACAGATTGAACCCTGGAACAACCCCTTGGCTGATCTAAGTCGGGGCAGGGCTAACTCACAGATTGAACCCTGAAACAACCTCTGGGCTGATCAAAGTCAAAGCACGGCTAACTCACAGATCAAACCCTGGAACAACCTATGGGCTCATGTAAGCCAAGGAATGGCTAACTCACAGATCGAACCCTGAAACGACCCCTGGGCTGAACTAAGCCAGGGCATGGCTAACTCACAGATTTAATTGGAATTTAAATCAATCTCGCTCTTTAATAGTTTATAGTGGAACTTTAGCTTTGTGAAGGGGAATAATGTACATTTTTATATTTTATACTTATCATGAATTACCTTGGAAAATATTTGGGTTCATAAGTTGAGGTTGCGACATCTGCATAGATTGTGTGCTTGGAACATTATATCCTATAAGCACTGTTTACGGGTTTAAAAGAGATTATCAATCATTAAAAAAGTAGATTATGACTTGTTGACATATGTTGGCTATTTAACAGTGTTTAAAGATCATTTAAGTTGCTATATGTTGACAGACTGGAAAGTACATTTAGATTGTTTGTTTAAAAGTACATTTTAACCTGACTTTATCTATTATTTTATCTTCAGTTTTTAGAACAAAATTTATATATATTATTATATAATTATATTTTGAATACATATTTTGCTTATAAAAAATTAAACATTAAACATTGACAATTATTTTCTTGTTTAGAATAACCAATAAATTATGTGGATCTTAATTACTTTGATTTTTGATTGTGGGGGAAAAAATTCATTTTTAGAATGCTTTTAGAACTTAACAAAATCAAACTCTTTAATTCAATAACTAATTGAATAAATTGATGGAAGGAAAAACAGACAAAGAAAATGGACAGACAGACAGGATAGGCAGACAAACAGACTAGATAGGCAT